AGTTTCTTTTTTCCTTCATTTTTTATTTTTTCTCTTCCTCCGTATTTCAGGGTGTTACCGGTCGTTGGGTGGCAGGTACCCTGCCCGACGCCGTACATAACGTCGGAAAAAAATAGCTGGGCGAGGTACTGGTGATTTAAGAGTTTTGTTGGGGGGTGGGGAGGATTCAGGATGGTCTTTCGGGTTGCTGGGGATACCCACGGTGGCAGTGATTCTCGTTATGCCTGGGATGGGGAGTGGGGGGAGGGAGGCGGAGAATATTTCTTTGCGTAACAGGGGTATAAACTCCGGTGAAGGGGGTAGTACCATGCATTTTGTCAGAAATGTTTGATGCTTCTTGGTTGCATGTGAAATCACACTACGATTATTCAACTTGTCATGTATGCAAACAGCGAAACAGCAAATTGGCGACAGGCGCCCACTCAGTACTCAAGATATCGTATCCACATAAGAGTTCTCTTCAAACTGGCTATGGCGACTGAGCGCCCACACAACTCACTGTTCGCACTCTGGATCACCCTGGATGTCCCACACGCAACACTCAGTATCACACTTCACACACACACATGCTAGGCTACAGCTATGGCAGCGCTAGCTGCCACTACCTATCGCKGCACYCTACTCCTCTGCCCACTTCGTCTTCGGGCACTCTGCAGACCTCCTTGCACAAGCTGCTAGGCAGCGCTTCCGCATGGCATCCGCAGGAATGAATGAATGAATGGACGCAGCCTCTTGATTTATACTTCTGTGCTGCATTGGTCTGCCTTGTGTCCCTGGCCCATGGTGCACACAGTTCCCCCCCGTGGTACTTGCTGGACCGGACTGGTACTTTCTAGACTCTCTCCAACAYGGGCTTGCTTTAGTYRCACCACTTGMCCACTTGCCTGCACCACTTGACCACTTGCCTGCACCACTTGACCACTTGCCAACCTTCTAAAAGGACTGCAGCTAGCCTTCTAGTCTATAGGTCTACGGATCGAATCCTGGCTACCTATAGACCTACGACAGACCTACCTACCACTGGCGGTTCTACAGGTCGCAGGTTCAACTCTTCGAGTTGACGCTGGTATTGTACACAGGTAAGTTGGGRAACTAGGGATCGAGCCCTGGGATCTACCTCAGCTACCACGAATTGGTGAATACCGTTTCACATGGGTGCCACCCAGATCTACACAGAAATGGCCCTCAATGCAGTTTGTAGGGCCCTGTTAACTCACTCCCGATCAACCTGTTCAACTAGCTAGGATTCAAAAAAAAAAAAAAAAAAAAAAAAAAAAAAAAAAAACGCATAACAATCAGACATCTCTCCCCCCACTCCCCATCCCAGGCATAACGATGCAGTCACCCGAGCACAACGCACCCTCATCATGAATGTATACAGGTGATCTTTCCGGTCCGATGCAGTCATAATGAGTGTGCGATACGTTCGCGGGAAGACGGTGGAAACCACCGAAGAGGCCAAACCGTTCTTCTTTCCTTTTTTTTTTTTTTTTTTTTTTGAAGTCCCTCTACTCTCTTGTGCTTCTAAAAACATCATTCGGGGCCAGCACCTCTGCCATCTGCTGGAAGGTAAGAGCCTGAGGTGATAGAGGACGGCGAGCTTGATGGCCGGAAAACGGGTCCAGCGTTGCTGATGGTCTCTCTTTTCTTTTTTTTCCTCACTTCTTCTTCTTCTTCTTCTTTTTTTTTTTTTTTTAATGATGTTCTCTCTTTAGTCTGTCCTTATTCTCTTTTTCCATCAGCGAACAATGCTTGCCGGTGATAAGCAATCGCACTGTCAACCCCCCACAGAACAGATGGGCCGTCGTAGGGTGGCAAGGATCGGTGGACCGTACGGCACAGCGCAAGTGGCTACTAGCCTCCTGATGAGACCGGAGCAGGGCAAGTGGGCTAGCGTCTTCCCCCCAACACAACGCACGCTTATTTTTTTGGCTGTATCTGGCCGGAAATATAGCTTGTATGCATTCATTTTTAGGGTGCGTTATGTTCGGGCGAAGACGGTAGCCTCCTGATGACACCGGAGCAGGGCAAGTAGCTAAGGTAGCCTCCTGATGACACCGGAGCAGGGCAGGTAGCTACCGTTTTCACCCGAGTAGAACGCCCGGTCATTATCGCTGCATCTGGACTGAAAGTTGTGCCAAATGCAGCTGTAATGACCGGGCGTTCTATTCGGGTGACGACGGTAACCTCCTGATGAGACCAGACCGCACCCACTTCAAATAAAACATGTAGAGGAGCCTGTGCGCGTTTTCGAGCATGAGTACACGCCTGTCTACTTCTTGATTGCAAAATATCTTTTGAAGTGCGTGTGAAGAGCAATCGGCCATTGCTTGTCTTTCTTCTTCTCCTTTGTTCCTGACGCTGTTTTTTCCAATTTTTCCTACCCTTTGGCTTTTACGATCGGGAGGGGGTTCCATTGTAATTAAAAAAAAAAAAAAAATTATCGGGAGGGGGTGCCCTTTGCTTGTTGTCTAAAGGACAAGAAGAAAAAGAAAAACGAGTGAGTGACGAGATGCAGTGGTGGATTTCATAGATTGAGGAATGGAGATGGTAAAGTGATGCCCTGCATCGATCAATCTGTGATGATGGGTGGATTGATAGTGCGCTGCCGAGATTGACAAGGAGAGAGATTGATTGATAGGTAAGAGATTGACAGGTAGATGAGTTCGATTTGGGTGAGTGACTTCGATCTTCATCAGTAAATTGATGGGCAGATTGATGGGAAAGTTCATTTGTGTAGTAGAGCGATACCGAGGTCAATCGATAGTCGATAGTGATGGGTGGATTGCTGGGTAGAGAGATTGACGGGTAGTAGATTTGATGGGTAAATTGATGGGTCGGTTGAAGGGTCGATTTGATGGGTAGATTTGATGGGTAGAGAGATTGACGGTGAATTGATGAGTGGGATTTGATGGGTAGAGAGATTGACGGGTAGATTTGATGGGTAAATTGATGGGTGGGTTGAAGGGTAGATTTGATGGGTAGAGAGATTGACGGGTAGATTTGATGGGTAAATTGATGGGTGGGTTGAAGCGTAGATTTGATGGGTAGATCTAATGGGTAGGATCGGGTGACTGAATTTCATCTTGATCGGTAAATTGTGATGGGCAGATTGAAAGGAAGGTCGACTGTGGAAGTTCGACTGGCAGATTCATGGCTAGATCGATCAATACAGATATCGATCGACAGATTGAGTGGTCTAGTTATGAATAAATTGATTAATTAATACAAAAAATGAGAGTAGATTGATGAGCAGCAGATCGACGGGTCGAAAATGGGTATATAGGCTGATCGGTAGATCCTTTGGAAGGTTAACGGGCACATGGATGTGTTGTAGGTGGGTAGGTTGATGGGCAGATCGACGACTATGTTCATTTGCGGGTAAATTGACTAGAGATTAACAAGTGGATTGATGCGTGGATTCATCGGTAGATTCATGGAGAAATTTACTATCAAAAATTGTTTATGGGTAGATTAACGCGCACATGGATAGATAGATTGATGGATATATTGATGGGTAGATTGATGTGTAGTTTTATGAGTAGATGAATGGGAAGATTGATCCGTACAGGGATGGGAAGATTGATGGGAAGATTGATGGGAAGATCGATGGGTAGATTGATCACTAGGATCGGACAATCCAGCTGCAGATCGATGACAGAACATTGATGGCTACCCATGAACTGAAGGCCATGATGATGATGATGATGATGATGATGATGATGGTGATGATGATGATGATGAAGCTGCAAAGCCGTGGCCGTCTTCCTCCAACAAAAAGGAAAGAAAACAGAAAAAGGAATTACGACAATAACAATTTCCCACTCTCTACAAGCAGGCATATGCTCCGGGTGAGGAAAAAGGGGAAAAGTGGTCTCACCCTCCTTAGATTCCAAAAACCCAGAACCCTCCGTCCTCCGATCACATTGACCTGGCAGCGGCTACACTACATCAGTATCTGACGACGGCGACGGCCATGCTAATCACCGTTCATCGTCAGGGCGACGGATGATAACGACCATGAATGATCACACACAGTCTAATACGACATAATGATGATGATGATGATGATGACGAGGATGGAGTAGGAAGAGCTGGATTGTCAAATCCGAGCGATTCGCGCATAACCATCCCTTCGACTCATCATCATCATCATCATCATCATCATCATCAGCAGCAGCAGCAGCAGCAGCAGCAGCATGATCAGCGTCAACATCATCAGCACCAGCATCATCCGCATCAGCATCATCAGCATCAGCAACGACACCGATGATGATGATGATGACGATGATGATGATCGTCTGCGTGACAAAGATGATGAAGCTGACGGTGTCCGTCTCAATGAACATAATGATGCTGATGCTGATGCTTATGATGATGACGAGGAGGAGGAGAAGGAGGAAGCTATGATGATGCTGATGATGATGATGACAATGATGCTGATGATGCTGATGCTGCTGCTGCTGCTGCTTCTCCTCCACCTCTTCTTTGCTTCCTTGTGTCATATGCATGGACGACAAGCATTGCCTTCTTCTTCTTCTTCTTCTTCTTCTTCTTCTTCTTCTTTGCGCACATGCGGAGATAACTGGAACTGGAATTCTTTGGTATGTGTGCCAGAAACAGATGTGGTCACTGTTTGTGCAACTCTTCGTCTGCTTCTTCTTCTTCGGTCGTACACTGTATGGTGGCTACGTCTACACACCCTGGTTGGGTGCGCGTGTGTGACTGGGTACACCGGGTCGCGGGGAAAAACGAGTACCCGTGCTGGGGTGGGGTTAAGTACTCATCTTGGGGCTTAGCTTTCACCCCAGTCCGCTTAGCCGATTGGTTGAGTGTTTGCCTCTTAACGTGGAGATCACGTGTTCGATCCTCGGATCGGTGCGGACGGACAGATTGCTGTCTGGAGTAAGTTTCACTTTTCACTTCTTCTTCTTCTTCTTCTAGGGCGGGAGGATTGTCGGCGGCAGGGTCAAGAGGTTAGCCCCCTGAGGATGATCGGAGCGCAACCGATCGAAACGCGTCGGGGAATGTGCGCGTGAGCTGAGATCAGTACGCGCGGCTATATGTATTGAAGAGCTTTCGAAGCGTGTACGAAAGGCAGTTGGCCACTGTTTTCACTATTCACTACACTATTCTTCTTGTTGCGCGCGTTTGTGAGCTAGGTCTATGTCACTGCGAGAAACAGCTATGGTGCTTCTTCGAACTTAAGCGTGGGCATTCTTCTTCTTCTTCTTCTTCTTCTTCCTCGTCCTCGTCATCTTATGCTTACTCTTCTTGTCCTTCTTCATCTCGTGCGCATTGTGACAACTGACTCATCAGAGCTTGTTTCTGAAATTCTGATCCGTCGAAGCGTGATTCAGAATTCAGAAGCAATTTGGATATGGCGTGTCACTTTCATCATCTTCTTCTTCTTCTAGTACACTTGGAATAATGTGACTCGGATCGCCCAAGACATCGATAATTTTTCACATAGATAAGCACACATAGGCAATTTTTTTGGAGTTGAGTTTTCACACACAGACGAAAGGATAATGCGGGGTCGGCAACGAGAGGGCGACTGACAGAGAGGAGACGGATTTGATTAGACTCAATGGCGCCACGGCAGACGGTGTGCAGCAGCGGGTAAGACTGAACGTCCGAGGGTGTAGTAGAGAGAAGAACAGGTTCTTCTCATTGATAGATTGGAAGCGCAGGAGAAGGCGAGTAGAAGGGAAAAAAATGGCCCATCCCACTGAATGTTTGATGTTTGAAAAAGGAGGGGGGGAGGGGGGGAAGAAGGGGCCAGCTGAGACAACCAACGTACTCCCAACACAAAGCCAAGCCCGCTGGTGGAAGTTGAGTCATTGTAGAACTAAGCTCACGTAACTCTGACACCAGTATGTCCGTGCCGCCATCGCCCGAAAGTAAGGGCAAGAGCCGGCGACATATGGGCTGCAACCGCCTGAAGGCCAGCTTTCCCTCCTCCATAGCTGCTCCTTCTCCTTCAGTCATCTTCTTTCCCCTGAAGGAAGGAATGTAAACAGAGGAGGAGAGTAGAAAAGAGGAAACACAGTGTAAAAGAAACACAGAGAGGAGTGTAGAAGAATAAACACAGAGGAGCACACGAACACTCTTCGCCCTGCCACCGCGGCTTAAAGCCGCACAGCCCAGCGGCAGATAAAAGTGCCCACGAGGGCGGGCGGTGAAAAAACAAAGGCTGAAAAAACGCGGGAAGATTAAAGAGGAGGACGAAAGAGATTTGAGACGGCGGGAGATAGCGAACTGCTCATGTTGAAGTTCGAACACGACTGGAAGCAAAAGAGTAAAATGTGTCCTTCGGGACATCCGTTAAAATTGGAACGATACAGAGAAGATTAGCATGGCCCCTGCGCAAGGATGACACGCATAAATCGAGAAATGGTCCAAATTAAAAAAATAAAATAAAAAAGTAAAATATTGCTTTGGTTTTTTTTTTTTTTCCCACAAGAAAGGAGACCATTCCATTATATGCCGGAAAAACCGCCGTCCCTTACATATGTGCCGCAGCCATACAGGCTGGGAAAAGCACTCTCAATCAATCCCATCCCAATTCCATCAAAAAAATTGTTCAAACCCTAACAGTTGTTCACAAAAATCCCAAAATAGGCCTTGGGGGGCACGGTTCCACTACCTCACGAGTCATGGCCTATTATTATTACTAGCTAGGTGCGGGCCGTGCGGCCCCCCACTTCGGACTTGGATACACATCATGCTGCACCACAAACAAAACCCAAACTGCTGCTGCATGAATTTTTTTTTTCTAACGAATAGTCGATAATATTTTTTTTTTTTTTAAAAACAACGTAGGCGGGGGGCTTTCACCACACACCAAAGCCACACCGGGCCACTAAGAAGTGCGCATGAATGTTTTCATTTTAATATATACGGGGGCGGCGCGCTTCGGACTTGGATCTACATCATGCTGCACCACACACAAAACCCAAACTGCGGCTGCTAAGAAATGCGCATAATTTTTTTTTTTTCCTAACGAATAGTCCAGAATATTATTCTTTTTTTTAAAACAGCGTAGGCGGCAGACTTCTCGTTGCACTTGGATCCATGTCTTGCTTCACCACACACCAAACCCGCACCGGGCCGCTAAGAAGTGAGCATGAATGTTTTCATTTTATATACTCCGGAATATCTGTTTGTATATCGTCACAAACAGAACTGCCCGGTAAAC